GTTGAGAACAGAAAATGACCTTGAATTTTGCAATGAGGATTTCGACAACTTTTGTGCTGCCTTTGGTATTGCAAGGAACAAAACTACTGCAGGTACTCTACAACAAAATGATTTGGCAGAAAGATTTAATCAAAATATTTTGGAAGAGTTAGATGCATGTTGACTAGTGTTGGGTTTAAGAAGGTGTTTTTGGCTGAGGCTGTTTCGACAGCTACATATCTGATAAACAGATGTTCTTCGACGACATTAGATATGAAGACACCAGAAGAATTTTGGCCAGGACATCCACCAGATCTCGACAAACTAAGAGTATTTGGCTGCATAACCTATGCTCACATTAGGCAAGACAAGGTCGAACCTAGAGCTCTGAAATGCATGTTCATGGAATACACTGAAGGAGTCATAGCTTATAGGTTACGATGCCTAGAGTCAGGTCACAAGAGGAGTATCACCAGTCAAGATGTAGTTTTTAATGAAGCTGAAATGGCTTTCAGGAAAACTGATGATGTTGATCGAAGTGCAGAAATATCTGACAAAGAGCTGGAACAGGGAGAAATTCCTGTTGAGGTGGATCATGTTGATGTACAATTGCGTATCCCAAATGAAGTTGAAGAAGAAGCAGAAGATATTGAGGAAGTTGAGGAAACTATCGATGATTACATATTAGAACGAGATAGATCGAGGAGAGTCATCAAGCCACCTCAGGGACTTGGGTATGCATATCTTATAGCTTATGCTTTAATCTCTGCAAGTGAGGTTTTAGACAAAAAAAAACCAGAGATCATAAGGAAGTTATGAGGAGTCAAAATAAGACTGAATGGCTGTAGGCCATGAATGATGAGATGAAATCTATTCATGATAACAACACTTGGAAACTGATAAAGAAACCTGATGGAGCCAGGTTAGTCAGTTGTAAATGGATTTTCAAAGTTAAGGAAGGAATCGAAGGAGTGGCATCGAAAAGATACAAGGCAAGATTAGTTGCAAGGGGTTTCACTCAAAAAGAAGGTGTCGACTTCAATGATGGATTTTCTTCTGCTGTGAAGCACAAGTCCATTTGAATGTTGTTTGCCATGGTAGCACAATTCGACCTTGAACGAGAACAAATAGATGTGAAGACTGTGTTCTTGTATGGTGATCTAGATGAAGCAATCTTGATGAAGAAACCTGAAGGGTATGTCGAAAAGGGAAAAAAGATTATGTTTGCAAGTTGAATATATCTTTATACGGGCTGAAACAATCTCCTCGACAGTGGAATAGGAGATTCGACAAGGTCATGGCACGTATAAGTTTCATTAGAAGTCAGTTCGACAATTGCATTTACTTTAGATTTTGGCCTGGTAATTCATTTGCTCTTTTGTTGCTTTATGTGGATGATATTCTTATAGAAAGCAACAATGTCGAAGATGTAGTGAGGGTGAAGGATGAACTTAATAACGAGTTTGAAATGAAGGATCTGAGAGTTGTATCCAGGATTCTTGGGATTGACATTCGAAGAGATAAAAAGCAGTCGAAATTATGCTTATCTCAAGAATCATATCTACGGAAGATTCTTGATAAGTTTGGTATGTAGAATTCAAAGCCTATTGTGACTCTAACAAACCCTTAATTCAAGCTAAGTATAGATCAGTGTCCCAGTACTGATGTTGAAAGAACTTATATGAATAACATCTCATATGCTAATATAGTAGGTTCTTTGATGTATGCTATGGTCTGTACTAGATCCGACATATCATATGTAGTAAGTCTTGTAAGCATGTACATGGCGAATACTGGAAAGGCTCACTGGCAAGCATTGAAGTGGATTTTAAGGTACATAAATGGGTCTCTGAACATAGTCTTAATTTTATAGTGGAGCCTTGGATGGAGATAGTAAAGTAGTAATCGAAGGATATGTCGACTCTGATTATGCAGGTTGTATGGATTCTGTAAAATCTATTTCTGGATACGTTTTCACTATGTTTGGTACAACAATTAGTTGGAAAGCAACACTTCAGAAGGTTGTCGCATTATCAACCACTAAAGCGGAATATATTGTTTTAAGTGAAGCTGTGAAAGGAGCATTGTGGCTTGAAACTTTTGCTAAGGAGTTGAAAGTTCAAGGGAAAGTTCTGTTAAATGTGATAGTCAAAGTGCAATACACCTCTCGAAGAGTCTATTATGAGCGAACCAAACACATCGATGTGAGGCTGCATTTTGTCAGAGGGTAATCGAACATGGAGAAGTCCAAGTGCCGAAGGTTTTGACAAATCACAATAATGTTGATATGATCACCAAGATGTTGCCCAATTGTAAGTTTTTCCATTGTATGCAGTTGATAAAGCTGCATGAAGAAAGCTACTTTATCCTTTGATATTAGAGTTTTTTTCCAAGGTGGAGATTTGTGAGATATTGGAAGCGAACTCTAGTTGGTCGAAGGTAGTTTCGTGGTTTCGACAGTTCGACATAAGTTTAGCATGTCGTCGATGATTGCTCACATGTTGTTGAAGACTTACATGTTGTAATCAAAATGTGTTCTAATGTGTAGTTGTCGAAGAATGCTAAGATTGTTAGCATCGAATTGGGCCTGCTTGTTATGTTCGATGGTTTAAGTTAGTTTGTACCCTAAGTTAGTTTGTAATGAGTATTTGTGAAAAAAGCTCATTAGTTTAGTATGTTAGGTTTATTATAAATAACATACTAGTCTTTCATCATTGCATAATGCAAATTCTAATTTAGGGTGAGAGAACTATTTGTTATTCTTGTGTACTTGTAATCTTGTTCTAAGAGAAAATAAAAAATAACAGTTAATAATCAATTCTTTGTGTTCTTCTTGTTTTTTCACCTTTTCTACCCTTATTTATTTCTTGATCATCAAAAAATAAATTTATATTTTGTTTCAAAATATCATTTTTCACAACATCAAACTTACAATATTATTAATTCTTATGATGTATTTTAAGTATAAACAGTAACTTAAACATTTGAAAGATTAAAAGTACTTTATTTGTATAATGCGAAGATTTTATCACTTTTGATATATTTATTTGGTTGATTTATCTCTTATTCCCTTTGAATTTCACGTGATAATACTCAATATACATGTCTCGTGAAGTCTAGGATGTGTTTACAGCACCATATTGCTAAAATGATTTAGAATTGCATCATGCTTTATTGTATTTTTTTGTCTGAGTTTTGTCGAGTTATTAGATCAATGCTTTTTTATACGTGTTTTTCTTAATAATATATTGGATGTTTCTAAGCACTTTTCTTGCATAATACTCTCCTCTTATTTATCTTAGATGTTTTTAATAATATTATTTTTTATTAATCAAATAAATGATTTAACAAAAAATGTTACATAGTTTATTCACAAAACTAAATTCATTGGGTTTCAAATATTTTCAAAATTGCCACCATTGGTAGTAGTTAGGTCACGTGAAAGACAATTAATTTTAAAAATTTATCTAAAAAATAATTTTTTTATACTAATGAAATTATTCCACAATATTCTATCTAAGAAAAAGTTTTAATTTTCTTTTATAATTTCTTTTATAATATTCTATTTATTAAAATACCTTTTATATATATATCTTATATCTTTCCGATCAACTCTTTTATAATCTAATTTACATGTCTTATCCTAAACCAATAATATAACAAAATTTATATAGAGAGAATTGAAAAAAGAGTTTAGAGAAAAAAAGTCAAATAAAATAAATATTTTTTCTGTTTTAAAATATAAGAGAAAAAATATATCTTTTATTTCAAAATATAAGAGAAAAAATGATTTTCATCTTTTTTAAAATAAATTTAAATATAAATTAAATTAAATTAATTAAAATTATTTATACATTTTTTTAAGCACTTTATTTAAAAAAAAACATCTATCAAATTATTATATTTTTATTTTTCTTATATGTCGTATTTACTCACTTTTTCTTTAGCTAAATAAAAATATTAAAAATCTACAAATATTCAATCTTGAACTAAACGTTCTTTGATGGTGTATCGGTAGCAAGAAAGGTTAAATAAAACAAAATATACTATTTTTATTGTTTCATTACAAAGAGAGAAAATAAAAGAAAATTGTGAGATTCATACTTATAATACGCTAAAAATAAGTTTTAGCAGCACATAAAAGAAAGTGCTTTTGGAAAAAAGCGCTGCTATAGGTTTTAAAAAAAATCGTTTAAAAAAGCGCTTTCAAATGGTACTTTAAGAAAGCGCTTTTTAAAAGCACTTCTAAAGGTCATCCTTAGAAAGCGTTTTTTAGGAAGCGCCACTAAAACTGGCCTTTCAGAGGGTACCTTAAGAAAACGCTTTTCAAAAGCGCTGCTAAAGGCCAGCCTTGGAAAGCGTTTTTCCAAAACGCTGCTAAAGCTGACCTTTAGAAAGCGCTTTTAAAAGCGCTGCTATAGGATATGCTACGAAAGCGCTTTTTGATATAAAAGCACTGTTATAGATGACCTTTAGAAAGCGCTTTTAAAAGCGCTTTCGTAGGTAGTTTTATAATAAATATCAAAACACAATTCGTATCACTTTTTTATTCTCAGTCAGATTTTCTTCACGAAAAAATCCTAAACCAGAGCTTCTACGGCGGTCAACGGCGCTCCACTTCTCCGGCCAACTGCAATTTGTATCAGGTTTCATTTTTTTCCTCATCTCGTATGTGTTTGTCTGGTTTTCGTGTGCTTTTTGTTTGGTTAACAATTTCATGTCATCCAATCCACACGTTAAGTATATACAACTTAATATAATTTGACTAAAGTGAACGTTTATCCAATCCTTCACCACAAAAAACGTCATCAGGAGACGTGGGACGCTTTTTATTATAATCAATTCAAAAAAGCAAGTGGCCATTTCTTCTAAGAAATGATGATGAACGTGTTTGGCGAGACCATTAAATGACAATGTTAGCAGAGTCTCATTTTTTATCATTCTTTACATTTCAAGATATCTATTTATTCATCCATCCAATTCCCGTCTCTATTCATATCAACCCTCAAAAAAATCGATCTATGATTACTTCTGAATCTTCGAACAACATGCAGCTACAACTGCAAGGTACTTATTTTGGTTTACGCATTTACACAAACACGTTGTCGTCAGTTTATATTTTGTTAATTTTTGTGATTTGATTCTCAAATGGTACCGCTAGTAGTGTTAATGTGATGAGCAACCTCGCACATGTCATGGCAACCTCCATCGTCGGATTAATCGGCGATAATTCAGTGATGGTTAACCAACAGAAGATTGTTCCTTACTTACATCAAACGGAGTCAGGCCGTGTTGCCAAGCTTGAGATTTTCTCTCACTATGTTGGTAACTTCTTTACCATTTTACTTTTACTTCTCCAGTTTAGTTTGGGCGTGAATTTGATGATGAATTTGTGTTATTATCGAATTGATTATGGCTACTTGTACATTTGTCTATGCAGCTAGGCAAATGAGATTTGTAGATGCCGACGAGGTTCCAGAGTTGTGCAGATTGGCACAGGACTACTTGAGAAACACGAAAGGGTGTAAAGAAAATATATATCAATATCTAGCCAATGGGGACAACGCTAAGGCACTATATGCAAAATTGATTGAAGAATTTGAAAGATGCATCCTCAGTTATTTTGCTTTTCATTGGAACCGAGCTTCATTTATCATTACCCAGGTTTATAATTCTTTAATAAAAAAAACCAATTACACATGTTTTCAGTCATATCTCACTATACTTTTGGTAAAAAAAATTTCACCTCACTATTATAACACTTTGTTATGACGATTTCTAAAATATTTCTACAGATATTTATGAGATGGTGATATTTAATTAGATGTAAGTGTAACTTCTTAATTAAGAAAGAATTTTATAATTTGGGAAATATATTAACTATTAAGTTGATACATGCTTTTGTTTATTTGACATAGATAATTGTATGTTAATATATTGATGTTTTAATCGTCTTAATCATAGGTATTAAGTTCTCAGTCCCAACCCAAAAATAAATCTCAAAAATATTCTTTTGGAAGCCACAAGGTAAATTTATATCTAATTTTGAGTTTAATTTTGGTGCAATGTTTTTTTTTTAATAACAAACAGAGCCTAAGACCGAATTTTAATGTAATGTTAGTGCGTGAATATTTTTACACGGAAAATCAATTATAGTAAGCCATATCCGGGATTTTTTAAGTAATTATAATCCATGCCAAACAAAGTTTGATCTATTGATTATTAGACTAATAGTATAAATTTCTATTACACGTGCATACCAATTAATAATCCACTCACAATTTTGCTTTAAAATAACCTTTCAAAAATATGGACTAGTTTAAATGTCTTATGCTATGTTTATAGGGAACATAGGTTTGAGAGAATAACAAAGAAACTAAAGGTGGCAAGAGTGTTCTCTACATTGGTTGAAGAGATTAAAGCAATAAAGGGCGACTCGCAAAGTTGTGATGACAAGGTCTCCATTGTCCAGAGTGAGAGGAGTCCAGTGTTGCTGCTTATGGGTGGAGGCATGGGATCTGGAAAAAGCACTGTTCTTAAAGACATTCTTAGAGAGTAAGTATCCCCTTAACTCTACTTCTTCCATATATTAATTAGATCATTGTTCAATTCCAATTGTTGCAAATGTTATGAACCATGTGTATCCAAAATAAGAAGAAAAAAAAACGATCTTATGAGTTATGACATGTGTTAAATTTTGTCACCCTTCACCTTTTTTCCTTGTTTTGCCCCTAATTAAATGGTTTGGCAGATCATTTTGGTCAGAAGCTGCATCCAATGTTGTGGTTGTTGAAGCAGATGCTTTTAAGGAGAGTGATGTCATTTATAGTGCTCTTAACTCTAAGGGCCACCATGATGAAATGCTTCAAAGTGCTGAACTGGTATGCTTCTATTGTTCGAAACTTTCATGTTACTATTTTCAAAGTATTTCCTAATTAGCTTGTCATCAAAATCTAAACAGGTGCATCAGACTTCGACTGATGCTGCATCATCTCTACTAGTGACAACTTTAAATAAAGGGCGAGATGTGATCATGGATAGTACCTTAGCATGGGAACCTTTCCTAGAGCAAACTATTGCTATGGCAAGAAATGTTCACAAAAAGCGCTGTCTAAGGTAAACATATGACAGCGTTTTTCCAGGAAAAAGCGCTGCTAAAAGACCACCTATGAAAGCGCTTTTCCAGAAAAAAACGTTGCTAAAAGCCTACCTAAGACAGCGCTTTTCCAGAAAAAAACGCTGCTAAAAGAAAACTTATGAGAGCGTTTTTCCAGAAAAAAGCGCTGCCTTAGGTAGATTTATGAAAGTGCTTCTTCATAAAAAAAACGCTGCCAAAAACCTACTTAAGAGAGCGTTTTTTAGAAAAAATGTTGTATTAGATAGACCTACGAAAGCGCTTTTCATTAAACAAAAAGCGCTGCTAAAACCTATAGCAGCGCCACCTACAAAAGCGCTTTTAAGCGCTTTTAAAGACAAAAAAAAAACGCTTTCGTAAGTCTTTTTCGGTGTAGTGTTACTTTTTTTTTTTTTAAAATTGTTTTCAAAATGTGAAAGCTACTTGATAATCGACTGATAAATTTTAACATTAATCTCATTGTTTTCAAACTATTATGCTTGAAAAAGAAATAGTGTCTTTTATAACACAAAAAAATATTATTTTTTGTTATGGGATTTAGTCAAGGCTAAAACTCCATATAAAATAAATAATGTTGTTAAGGGTAAAGTTTCTTGCAATGTATAATTAAAAAAAAACAAAAAAAAAAAACAATTAATATATAAGAGGAAAATATTTGAATTTTGAAAAAATGAATTGCCAGAGATAATTTATACCTAAATAAAATAGTATCAAAAATTTATTTCATTAGTCAGAATATTCAAATATTCGCAAGGGATTACCCCATATAATCTGATAAGAGTACATTTCCGAGGAGCTCCTCCATGCAATAAGAACAATGCATGTGTCCAATCTACGAGGCGGTTAGACCACGCCTCCAAATGATATTTTTCAAGCAAGCGATTTACGAGAAGATGTTGCACGCAATATATTACCGTTTCTTTTGTGAGGGGTTATCCTTCGCCCATATATCTGCATTTATTTAAAGGCCACTGAGACTACCGCTTCAATATCATTAAACGTTATAAAATCTAAGTTTATAACATTTCTTTCTCTTCCCTTCCATTTCCTTACACACAATGTTGTTTCTCTAAAAAAATTGCATCTTCTTCCATTAAAGAATCATATCAATTTCTCAACTCCAAAGTAAAAAAAAATTAATATATGATTCAATTATATATTTATTTTATTTTTAAATTTAAATTATAATATTAATTTTGTTCTGTTTTTGAGTTTTACGTATTAAATTCTTTTAGAAGAGTAATATTTTAGGGTTATATATATATATATATATATATATATATATATATATATATATATATATATATATATATATATATATATATATATATATATATATATATATATATATATATATATATATATATATATATATATATATATATATATATATATATATATATATATATATATATATATATATATATATATATATATATATATATATATATATATATATATATATATATATATATATATATATATATATATATATATATATATATATATATATATTAAACTGTTTCTTAAATTTTTTCTTTTTAAAATATTTTCGAAATTAATATTTAAAATACAATTTATCGATTTTAAAAAATAACATACTCATTAGTTTTGAAAATTCATATTTATCTTTTTTTAAAAACAGTATTATTATATTAAAAAAACAGTATTTTTATATACTATAAAAACATTTATTTACATAAAATAGTTTATTTATTGCTTAAAACAAAACCTTGTATATTTTTAAGTTAAAACAAAAAAAAGTATATATACTATATTTAGTAAAAAACAAGTGTATAAATATAAATAGTATATTTTTATGTGTTAGTGAACATCATAATAGTTATTTAGAAAATAATAAGTGAATATAGTTTTTAGAAGAATTTTTTTTTTAAAAGGAATAACGGTAAATATGTTTATATACTATTTTAAGAAATAATAACTCTAAAAGTATAGTTAAATAATTTTTAAAAGATATTATTTTTTAGTTAAAAAAAACTATTTTTTTAAAAAAATAACTATTTTTTAAAAGGTATAATATGATAAATATATTTATATACTTGTTTAAAGAAGAAAACTCTTAAATATATATTTTCATGATTAAATATATTTAAAAAGTATGTTTAATTAGAATAAATAGATAGATATTCTTTCCATTCATTTTAAGTGTTATTTTAGCATAAAAATTTTCAACCATGATATTGAATTGTTAGATTTATTTTTTATATTATACCCTCATTTATTTTCTCTTTTAAAATAAATTCAATCACACACACTCTCTCTTTTTTCAATACTAATTGAAAAAATAATTAATTTTATGAAAAATATGATGCGGAGTTGTTGTAACTGGTTTTTAAATAAGAGTCATCATTACTAGTTTTTATCATAAGGAAAAGAATCTAATAGAAAACTCAAATTTTATAGATAGAGATTCTAGGTTTCAGACATCTTTAAACAAAGGGAAGGTGTTAAACACCCTTCTTCTATCTTGTTCTCAAGAATACTAAAGTTTAGATTTTAAAGATTTAGGGTAAGTGTTTTAATTTTTAATAGGGGAACTCGCCACGAATTTAGAATTTTTTTTACAATAACCAACTATTAAAATAATATTTCACAAATAACCGCGTTTCGGAAAAAATTACGCAAGTAACCATGTTTCGGATGACTCCCCAAAGGAGGAGCCATCTCACTTGGCGCCTCCACGCCTAGATTTGCCATAGGCGCCATCTCACTTGGCGCCTCCCTTCACTTTTAGCCAAGTGAGATGACGCATGCTCCTTAAAAGTGAGAGGAGGCGCCATCTCACTTGGCTCCTAGGGCAAAACTAGGGCAAAATGCTGTTTTGTAAATAATTCGTCCATTTCTCCGAAATTTCGCACACTTTCTCGTACTGTATTTTTATTTTTTACTGTTATTTGCGTCATGACGTCGCCCATGATTTTTAGCAGAGATGGTTACGTTATCTTCTCCGCCACGAAACCTGCGATGAAAATGAAATTCTGGCACATTCACTCCATGGAGCGTCTGAAGCGGGAGTTGATGCGATGGCTAGATGGAGACATTGCAGAGGGGGAAAAAATTCGAAGGATCCAGCGAAAACGAACAACAACCTCACATGCGACATGAAGACCTAATGTATGGTTGGAGGAAGTCAAAACATACAGCGATGTAATGTTGATGATGCATGGGTCAGATGAAATTGTGTTAACAATTGTAATTTCATAGACGGAATATCGTTAATTTTTCTTGTACGCGCAATATTTATTGTAGCAAAATATGTTAACGGAAAACCCTAATGTTTACAACATAATTAAGGAAAGATTTTATGTATTACAATTTTTATGTGGTCGAGGCAGACGCCCGATTCGGACAATTTTTGCGATTGTGTCCGACCTGACGGCATAAACCACACTTTCTTTCCAACTTGTCAAGATCGTCCATTTCTGCTGTGATGCACTTACTTTTGGGACGACCCTTCTTGTTCCTTCGCATTTGGTCATTGTGCCACACTATTTCGCCGTCGTATGCAGGCCAATAATCTGGTTTTCCTACCAAAGGAAAGTTGTTGTTGTAAACATTGAGCAACGTTTCAGATTTGTAAATGTTTGACAGAAGTTGCAGCGCGTCTTGATGGGTATGAGCACAAGCGGCAATGACATGAGAGCAAGGCATACGAAATGCTTGAAACCCGCCACAATCGCACCAACAAGAAGGTAGCATGACCCTATATTCTTGTCTTGGCAGGCCTTCGTTGTGGTCAATTGTCTCTTTCATAATGAAGTTGTGGCTGTGTCGGTTAAACCGTATAACCATATGAGTGTTGGCTTTGGCACTTTCTGCCTTAATGTATTTCATGCAACTTTCACTCCATAGTTGTCCAGATTGCAACACCGTATTCCATATTTCACCTCTTTTGGAAAATAACGCAGCCATCCTAAAATACGTAGATTTTACCAAAGCAGTGATCGGGAGGTTTCGTATGCCTTTGAATACCCCATTCATTGATTCAATAAGATTCGTTGTCATGTGCCCCCATCTTTGGCCATTGTCATATGACCTAGTCCATTTTTCCACCGGAATATTGTCGATCCACCTACCGGCTTCCAGATTTGACAAACGGATCTCGTTGCGGTAATATTTGAATGTGGGTTGTGTCAATGCATATCCCGCATTCATAACCGCTTTCCTTAATGTTTTGTCCTTGATCTCCCTCGTGAAATTCTGGACGATATGCCTAACGCAATAAACATGCGTAGAAGGAGGGTCATGCCAACCGTTTGCAGGATTATTGTAGGCACTTTCAATGGAGGCATGTCTGTCCGAGATCAAACAGAGATCTGGTTGAGGAGCCACGTGTGTCCGCAGATTTTTCATAAAAAAACTCCAAGCACCACCAGTCTCCCCCTCGACAAGGGCAAAGGCAATGGGGAAAATGTTGTTGTTTCCATCTTGTGCAACTGCCATCAGTAACGTGCCTTTGTACTTCCCATACAACCAAGTACCATCAATTTGTATAATTGGTTTGCATGATGCAAACCCTGTGATGCAAGGTTGAAGAGCCCAAAACACTCTACTGAATATTCCGTTGCCGTTTAGTAGACTACCATCTTGGGCGTATGCTGGCACTGTTTCCAGAACGTAAACAGTACCCAGAGAATACGTCTTGAGTGCATTCAAGTAGTGAGGAAGTTCTTGGTATAACTCCTCCCAGTTTCCATACACCTTTTCAATCGCTTTAGTCTTTGCTAACCACGCCTTACGGTAAGACGGAGTGTAGTTAAAAACCGTGGTGATGTGGGAGATGATTGTTTTCACCTTCAAAGATGGGTCGTTGCTGACCAGGGGTAGGATTTCTTGACATATGAGATTGTAGTTAAGTTTTCGGTGGTCCTGTGATTGGGTAGAACTTACACAAGTGTGGGTATTCATGAAACCTATGACCCAGCAGTCACCTCTTAATCTGTATGATGTAGTCATCTTGAACA